GAAGAAGCAGGGTGCCCTGGCCTGCTGGGGGGGGGGGGTCACAGGGATCCAAAACACACAAAGAGAAGGTGCAGAAGAGACCCAACGAGGGAGCAGGGGCCGCAGGGGGGGTGCCGCAGGGACCCCTCCATGGAGGAAGGTGCAGAAGAGATCCCATGAAGGAGCAGGGTGTCGGGGAGGGGTGTCACAGGGACCCCTCCATGGAGGAAGATACAGAAGAGCCCCCAGGAAGGAGCAGGGCGCCACAGGGGGGGTGTCACAGGGACCCCTCCATGGAGGAAGATACAGAAGAGCCCCCAGGAAGGAGCAGGGCGCCACAGGGGGGGTGTCACAGGGACCCCTCCATGGAGGAAGATACAGAAGAGCCCCCAGGAAGGAGCAGGGCGCCACAGGGGGGGTGTCACAGGGACCCCTCCATGGAGGAAGATACAGAAGAGCCCCCAGGAAGGAGCAGGGCGCCACAGGGGGGGTGTCACAGGGACCCCCCAGACACAAAGGGAAGGTGCAGAAGAGAACCCACAAAGGAGCAGAGTGCCAAAAGGAGGGAGGGGGGGGATATCACAGGGACCCCTCCATGGAGGAAGATACAGAAGAGACCCCAGGAAGGAGCAGGGCGCCACAGGAAGAGACCCCAGGAAAGAGCAGGGTGCCACAGGGGGGGTGTCACAGGGACCCCTCCATGGAGAAAAGGTGCAAAAGAGCCCCCAGGAAGGCGCAGGGTGCCCTAACCCGCCGGCAGAAAAGGGGGGAAGACAGGAACACCCCCCTTTCTCCCTCATAAAGCCCACCTCCCCCTCGATTCTGTCAGCCGATTGTGGGGGGGGGTTTTTGTTTTGTTTTGTTTGTTTGCTTGTTTTTTCAATATGGTATTTAAAGTTAACTGTGGAGTCTCAGTTTCTGGATCTCAGGGAAACAATTTTTAATATGCAGACCTTCACTCACTTCTTCTTCCTTTTGCACGTAGTAAAGGAAATATAAACCACCTTAAGAGGGCACCTGAAGCTCCTTCATAGTATGGGTTAAACATAATGTGAAGCCTGCCACCAGCACCTTGAAGTAAAAACCATGATGGTGTCGCAAAAAATGTTTCAAAAGTTTGTCCAAGCTCAGGCAAATTAGAAACACAATTTCTGAAAATGGTTTGCTAGTATTTTTAAGTATCAGAAAAACACTGAAAACAAAAAGAACCTGCCAGAACCAAAAGAAAAAAGATCTGAAGTACTGTGCAAATGAGTGAAACATAACTAGTTCATGATACTGATTTTTAGATAGTTTTTCAATTTTCCAAGAGAAAGTTTAAAGCAAATCTTGAACTCGCTCAGTGGTTTAAAGGGAGTGATGTTCTGGTATCT